GACTGTATTCAAGCCCCTCTTGCAAATCGATATGGGGGGACTAGCAAAACTGGATCGCGTGAATGGAGCGAACAAATTATAAGTGTTCTCGGTTCCCAAGTCAAGTGAATCACATTTATCCCACTAACCGAGTGTCGATAGGCCGGATACATCATCGTTGTGTGTATAGGCTATACATTTGGCTTTCACAGTCTTCGGAAAATTTCCACGCATCCTGTGCATTCGTCACATTTGAGCANTATAGTTCTCTCGCCCGGACTTGGAAAACAAACGCATTTGTCTGCGCGCGCGCGCGCGTTTTTATTCCAGAGTTTAGCGACAATATCGATTCACTTGGTGATTGACCGGACGTAAAAAGCGCGGGCTAGGACTGACAGAATCTCGTTCGGTACACATGACGTAGCCCAGAAAAAAATCTGTTATCCGTATTCCCTAAATGTTTGCTAACGCATAGCAACGTGTAGTGTGTGTTTTCCTCGAATCGTCCGATGCTACCTAATTTCTCCTTCATTTTCTCTATGAATAAGACACAATCAATGAATGCATCCTAGACAGCAGGATAAAACTTTTTCGCATGGGTTTTGCTCACTATAGCTACTAATCAGCCACTGCATGTGTGAAGAACACAAAACTTTCACACTAGTCTCACCATGATGTACGTTTCATAATTGATTCTTGCTAGCACAGATTAACTGAATCATTATCAGGTCTTAAATTTCGACATCCGTAGCAGTGCACGAAACAACGGAAATTTGAGACATTCCTTATCACTCTTTGATCGGTAAATAGACCTCATGGGAAAAGAAAAGCAAACGCTTGTGAGTATTTGACTTTGTGAATATTTGTGGTATACGACGACCACAGTTGCGCTGCCAGATGAGGTAGTCAAGAGAGACCAATATAAATGTTCACCAACAGTTCCACAACAGATGTAGACAAAACCTCTTCTACTCGACGTGGTTAGCAGTGACCCTCTGATCACAAGCTGCGCCCAGTTTCAGCGGTCTTATGGCGGTGTGCGTATGTATAAAATGCGAATAACGCTACGATTAGCTGTTCTCAAATTGTACAGTTGTGTATGGGCATACTAACAGACTCGAAAGACGGAACGAACAAGTCAGACCCAATTGCACACGATTGGCAAAATTGTGATGAGCTTGACTGATCTCGATCACACGCTTGACACTGGTCGGAGTAATTAGTGGCTGCCATTCATAAGAACCCCTTCACGAGCAAAATAATATTGTTTATCGAAATGACGATTATTCGTGTTTTTTTTGTTTCTCATGTAAGCGGCCAAGAGGTCGTGTGTTCAACTTACACTATCACAGCGTGGTCCGGTTCTCCGTTCTCTTAGTATCTCCAGTCAGCCCTCTGATTAGTTGTTTCCTTCTTTCCGAAATAAAATCTAGTATTATGCATTCGAAAAAGAATCTGAAAGCGAAAGAATAGATAGCTTATTAGTGTTTGCATTCTATCCTGGTCGATGAGACCCAATAGGGCTGATCGCGCATCCAAAAGTTTCCGTTCACACATCATTGGTTCTGTACACAACGATAGTCACTATGTAATCGATTCAAATCCCCGTCTAATCTCACGTAATACCATATTTACTTATCAAATTGAACAAGACGCGTTGGTCATCCTCGAATCGTTCCTAGAGGAAACAGGACAAGGACGATGGGATTCGAATGACAATGGAAGGACTGCGTCACTTTTGGTTAAGTCATCCAACCGCAGGATTTGGTCAGCCTAGTGACAGACAGCCCTTGGTGGTGGTGGCGCAGTGGTTCAGTCGCTGTCACCGGAATGCTTTGGACCCTATGGCCCAAGCCCCGCCACCCAACTTTGGTGGTAGGCAGCTTTGCTGTCGTTCGGTTCAATACCACGCCTAACCTATCGGGACCTTATGTGGTTCACCAAGTCCCGGGGCTTAGGTTGCCGGTTTCCACCGCTGAACAGCGGGTCCTCGTGACTATTGGGTTCGCCCCGTTTGCTGTTCACCACATGAGTGTGTAATAAAAAAGGGTAGTACAGTGAGGCACGCTTCAAGATCACATGAATGAGGAGTAAATAATTTTAACACAACAGACAATCAGGTCTAGACTCAGAGAGAGGGAATCCTGTTTCGTTATCCATCGTTTACTCCGCAAAATCGAGTGATGAACTATCCACTTGAATACAGATTATCGTACTTCGGCTCCAGTTACCTTCGTATTTTTTCAATATATTCCACTTCGAATTTGAAAAATAATGAAAAAATCTAGTAAAACCGGTACCGTAAGTGGGCTTCATCATTGCATTTTGTCGTCGGAACCTGCTTTTTAACCACAAGGCAATATAGAAAGACACCATCATGAAAAGTCGAAATTATCAATATCTGAATGAATACCAATGTGCCTTTACCACTCCGTCCATGTCGACGAGCATTAGGGTTGAATAGGGAACTGAAGAACTCTTATACAGAAGGTTCCTTTAGGATGAATTGTGCGGAGCAGATCCGGCGAACATGTGAGAGCCAATGTCTCTAATGGACAATATTGTTCCATCACTTGATCGTCAAATATGCATTGATTCTGTTCAACGACAGACTGATGAGCGAATATTTTACTGACCATGCCCACAGTTCACATTCACATGACAAATTATTTTCATCACTTCCGAAAGACTCCGCAACGGTTTGGTTGAGCACGTTGAAGGATATGGCTGCGGACCGATAGTAGTGATGTTCCTGTTGGCATTTCTCATCAAACCAGAATGCTTGAAGCGGTATGCATGCAGAGTTTCATTGTGCACTGTATTGACCAGAGGTTCACCTTTTCCCACTCTCAAAGTAGGTTTAATCCCTGTCCACTTTATATATTACTACTAACCTTGTATGTAGTGTATTAGTTTGGCAGCTATCAGTGAAGTTCCTTGTACGATGATGATGAATGTGGCAAACCTCGAGGTGGGGGGGGCGACAGTTTTGGTTTCCAGCAGCGAAGTTGCTTCCACCTGGAACGTGCTTTAGGAGTCCCAGTTAAAACTCCAATCGTGGAGGTATCATCTCGGTTCATGCAGTTTTTAAGCATGCCAACGATCCGCGGGAATGCCATCCGAACAAGAAAGATTTCAGCTTGTGCGTGTTCGATAGATGAATCCAAATGGGTTGATGTATTTGGTGAACTCGAAAAAGTTCCATATCGAAAGATTTCTGCCTCTCGTTTATTTTGAACCGCGTTCGATTCAATTTTTATTTTCCGGATGCTCTTGAGATTTATTTCACTCATGAACACCCGGTTACGGTTTCTTATTTCGCAATAAGTTAGGCTTTTGAATACACTCACATAAAAATACAATCCACGTCCCTTCACCACTTGGAATGTGAAAACCAATTGACGTTGCAAGTAGATCATTTATTTTGAATTTACTATTTTACCATTTACGATGAATGTTTGTTCGTTCAATGGAATTAGCAAGAAACAAATGAACGAAAAAACAACCAAGCGAATGAATGCATGAATGAATGTAAAACACCGGTTTACGATCAAAAACAGGAATTGCCAATGAGCGTAGTTAGATGAAATTTGCGTATGTTTGTGTGCGCGTTGGCAAAGAATATGTCTAACATAAATACGCAAGGCAAGCTTGAACCGGAAAAGACAGTTATGATGATAATACAGTGGTGGTGAGATAGGTCAGGGGAAGGGAGATCGCAGATGAAAATAAACGTCACCGCCACAACGACAAACTTACACGGGTACCGAGAACCAGAGCCAGAAAACAGGATGGGACAGAAGAGAGATTTGCAAACAATGATGATTCTCAAGGCGATCACGTGAGACCATCAGAGTGCAAACATGGATGAAAACGACAGCGGTGATCGGCTTTGCAGCCGGTTCGACTTCACGCGTGTTCATTGCTATCCGTTCTGGCATAATAATCGATCGAGACTCAGCTAAGCTATGAGTGAATGTGCACATATAGGCAGACACAATAGCAATAAGAAAATTGACAATGCATAGGTAAATGAACGAAGAGAAAATAATAATAATAATAATAAACGCATGAAAAGGCACTAAAACGGATGAGGATGAAAGAGAATATCAATCAAAACATGCCTGAGGAAGCGACAATAAATTCTGGTGTTAGCTTGGCAAGATCATACCAAAGTTCGACAATAGGCGGAGATTCTCGGAAAAGAAGCGAAGCACAGATGAGCGAACACGACAACGAATCCAAGAGATGATGCGCATACACAAATGAAAAACCCACAAGAGAAAATATCTGAGTACCTCTCATACTGTGGTGAGAATGGAGATCACACAACTACCGGTACGGTCGGGTAGCAAGAAGAGAGAAGGACAGCACGCAATTTGGAATACTCATTCACAATTCGCATAAGCTTCTTCACTCAGTTCAAAGTATTTTGCTGCTAGACGGCCCTGACGAGCGGCTGAGGCCAATTCGCCTGCTTGATTGAACAGATCCCCTATAAGGATGAACAGAAAGACACATATGGTAATTAAAGAATGGGAGCAATAACGCCACTGTGTGGTTTGCTGTGTACAAGCCTATGATCCAAAGAGAAAACAATGAAAAAGATCATTGAAGCGAAAAATATTCCTTCTGTTCACGCTCAAGTATCTACATTAATAAACGATCACACAGTAGCAACAAAATCATGCGTGATTGAAGATACCACGGTGGAAGGAAAGGGGTTACAGAAAGAAACAACGTCAACAGATTATCTGTCGAGTGGATGAAATCATTTTCAGCGGTGTGGGCTACCACGAAGTACGTTAAGCCGTGGGTCCCAGGCATCCTTTTGGAACATTCCCTTTCTCATGAGTCTAATTTTCCTCTCACTTCTGGATCATGCCTTTTGTTTGCACCACCCATGGGATACCATTAAGCATTTAACAACTAAGGTCGACAAACCACAAGCTAGCGCACTGATAAAACAAAAAACTCCCCTTCAACTCGCTACACTTAATGTCCTCAGACACTATCAGATCGGCCAACAAACTGCCTTAACCAGAACACTTGGCCTTTTCAATTAA